AAAAAGAAAAAAAATAAGAAAAAAACCTATGGTCTCCTGTTATAACCAAGTCTTTCATGAATGTAAAACATTCTTGGATCCTCAAGTTGCTTTGACTTACATTTTGCATTATGTTTTTATAATCCTTTTAAACTAAGGGTTCTTTCGGAAAATCTTAGTGAACTTAACTAATTGCATGCAGCTACCCATATTACACAATATACATGTCTCACACATCATTGTGTCATTCCTAATTTTTAATTTTCTAATATAGAGATGGACATTACTAGAATATTACTAAAACAGCAAGGGCATATAAACATTATAGTGAGTTCTGAGGCAGGCTGGGACCATAAAAAAAGTTCTTGTGTGTTTAATTAGACAGCTTTATAGCTGGAAAATATATATATTTTAATTAAACACATTAAAAATGCACATTATTGTTACTCCATGTAGTTATCTAGCTTATTATATTGATATGTTTGTATGTGTGTTCTGGAGTTCATTTGTGGGTGAAAAAGCTAATTCTTTTTAATCAATTATATACGACAAAGTAAAAATAATCAGTGTTTACTATGATCAATAATTAAGCACTAGCATGTGTAGCTTCCATACTACCAAATTTAATAAGATAAAATATTAAAATAGATGTATTGTCTAATGTAAACACTTGTGCATCAGCATCAGCAATTGTCTCAATGATGTTAACAGTGAACATGGAAAAACAGCAACACAATCTAGTGTAGAATTGTGTGTGAAATTGATTTGTTCTGGTTTGGTTTGCTCAATTTAGACAGCTGTCAAATGTTATCCCAGGTTACAAGTCACATATTGTAGGGAAGAGGTAAATAAATACCACTACTCTTAAAAACGAATTCCTCCGATTATACACATGTAATAAAGAGAGGAAAAAACATGTAGTGTTAGACTGTGGGTACACCATATACAGGAGGATAGTTGATAATCTGCTCACACATACGTGACATTTTTGGACTAATTCTCAGTATTTTGTGCTTTTTTTAAAAAGGGATAATATTTTTTTTAAGTCCCCCTCAAGATGGGGCGTTTAGGCACTGTGCGCATAGGTTGCAGATCTGAGATACAGAGATGCTGTCAGCTTACCCATTGGTTAATCCTTTCTAAGGTCTAAACTTATTTTTTGTTCACTAGTGCCACTAGAGAACCTTTACCATTTGCATAAAAGACTGATACTGCCCACAAGGTCAGTCCATATCCAAAATGCTAGCAAGCTCCTTCTGCACAAGAGACACAGCAAACTCTGATGATCTTTTTGGCATTTTGGGGGATTTGTCAGCAAGGTGCAGCTAATACCCCTTTAAGCACGGTCCACATCCAGATGACCTATTTAAGAAAAAACAAGATTAAAAATGCTTTCTTTGCAAGTGATGAGTTCTCACCTAAGGTAACTCACAAAAACGCTAAATAAGGCATGCTGGCCCTGGTATTCACAGTCTCTTCCAGGTTCCAAAGTTCCCAATCACATGAGAATCCCTTGTCCACTTCTTTGGGACATGTTGTATGAAGCATTATGCCCACATCTTGAGTGCTTTCTGTGATCGGAAACTCTGGAACCCATAAGAGACTGTGAATACCAGGGCCAGTCTGACTCTTTAGCTTTTTTGTGAGTTACCTTAGTGGAAAACTCACTACTTGCAAAGTAAGCATTTTTAAACTTGTTTTTTAATAATGTTTTTAGGCATTGCACAATTGGATTTCCTGGTTTCTCTTATTCTCCCCTTTAAAGTGTGTCAGGCACGTCCTCCAAGCTGAAACAGACCTAGCGCATCGGGAGGGGAAAGCAATGAGGGGGGCAGAGAGGAGTAAGCGCCAAACTCCCCAGCCCCAACCAGCAAAAGCTGGAAACAGGAGGGTGGCTAAAACTTTAATCTGTGTGTCTATATCGGTATCAATAGCAAAGGCAAAAAATGATTGGTGGCACACCAGAAACATGCATTCTGCAGGAATGGTGCTGTCGTAGTGACCAATATTCACACATATTGCAGATTAAGTTACGGCGCACACATAAAAATACACTTGTAAATCTTTCAGGCTACTTAAAATCGTTGATTAAAATTTATAAGTGTATTTTTATGTCGGTGCCATTACTTAATCTTCAATTTGCATGAATATTGGTCACTACAGCAGCACCATTCTTGCAGGTGTGCCCCCAATAATTTTTTTGTCTTTTCTATGAAAGTTTGGAATCCAGACCAGATTCCCTTTGGGGTTAAGCACCTCACACAGCCCCCCCCCAGCTTCAGAGTTCCATTTGGAGGTGAAAACAGGTGTGTATGTATATGAGAAGTTTTTGAACAGTAATGTCACTTTTATTATAACCTTCATTTAGCACTAGTGATGTCGCGAACGTGAATTTTTCGGTTCGCGAATGTTCGCGAACCCGACGAACCCGGCGAACCGCCATAGACTTCAATGGGCAGGCGAATTTTAAAACCCACAGGGACTCTTACTGGTTGAAGGGGGGGGAGGAGACCTACTCTCCTCCCCCCCCCGGCCCCCACCCCTGGGCGGCGGGTGGGGGCCATAAAGATAATGAGGGGGGGACCTACTGTCCCCCCCCAGCCCCCACCCCTGAGCAGTGGGTGGGGCTCTAATAACAATAAGGGGGGGACCTATTGTGTCCCCCCCCGCAGCCCTAATAACAATAAGGGGGGACCTATTGTCCCCCCCCCGGCCCCCACCCCTGAGCGGTGGGTGGGGGCCCTAAAATGAAAAATAAGGGGGGGACCTATTGTCCCCCCCCCGCCCCCACCCCCACTCAATTTTCCCACCCTGTGTAAAATGACACAGAGCACTGTGATTGGATGGCTTTCAAGCCATCCACTCACAGTGCTCTGTGTCATTTTACATAGTGTGGGAAAGTTCTTTTGAATTTTCCCATGCTGTGTAAAATGACAAAGAGCACTCTGATTGGCTTAAACCCACCAATCAGAGTGTTCTTAGCCTAATTGCAGGGCGGGGCAAGGCTTTATAAGCCTTCCCCCGCCCTGCAGAGCTCAGTCTGCGCGGAGCCCTCCATGGGTGAAGATGGATTATTTTTTTGCGCTCTGGTTTTTTCTTTTTCGTCAGGTTTTTTTTTTTGCGCTCGGGATTTTTATTTTATTTTCAATTCGACGGTTATGATGGTTTTTTATTTGGCCTTTTTTGGGGCTGAAAATGAAGATTTGAGAAAAAAGAAGACGTCGAATGGTAAGTTTACTTTTATTTTACAGGTTAGTTATTTTATTCCCCCCTCACTATTTTTTAGGGTGAGGGGGGTAGGTAGGGACTTTTTATTTTGGGGGGGGGTGACTAGGGGCTTGGGGACCCCTAGTCACCTTGGGGGGGCGGGGAATTTACTTAGGGCCCCCACCCGCAGCCCACTGTATCAGTGTCAGTGTTTGTATCTGTATGTGAGTCAGTATTTGTATCTGTGTTTCTACGTATCTGCATATGTGTCAGTGTGTGTCTGTATCTGCATGTGCAGCAGTGTGTGGCAATGTTTTTATCTGTGTCCATACATCTGCATGTGTGTAGGTGTGTTTATCTGTATGAGTCAGTATTTATATATGTGTGACTGTATCTGTATTTGTGTCAGTGTTTGTATTTATGTATTTGCATGTGTGTCAGTGTATGTGTCAGTGTGTCTGTGCAAGTGTATTTGTGTTAATGCTTGCATCTGTGTATCTGTATGTCTGTCATGATGTGTATTTGTATGTCTGTATCTGTATGTGTCAGTGTTTGTATCTGTGTATCTGCATGTGGGCCAGTGTTTGTATCTAGGTATCTGCATGTGTGTCAGTATGTATATCAGTGTCTGTGTATCTGCATGTTTGTCGGTGTGTGTATCTATATTTCTGTATGTCTGTATCTGCATGTGTGTGTGTGCTTGTTTGTATATGTATGTCTGTATCTGCATATATGGCAGTGTTTGTACCTGCCTCTGTACATCTGCATGTGTTTCAGTATATGTATCTGTATGTGTGTCAGTGTGTATATCAGTGTGTCTGTGCATCTGCAAGTGTGTCTGTGTATCTGCGTGTGTGTCAGTATGTATAGCTTTGTGTCTGTGTATCTTCACTTTTGAAATGGCAGCAACTATTTTAATTACAAACATTTTGCTAAAATGAGGAGTGGAAATATTAAAATATTATGGAAATATTAAATAGGCTTCCAAGGGGTACACAAGTGAAAAACGCTTGTGAACCACTGATTTAGACAATGCTTCTTTTTGATGCTTCCATTCAGCTTGCATTATTACTAGCAAACTGCGTATTGGGTATTGAATAGTTATTGTACAGTCATCATTGTCCCAACTTAAACTATCAGGTATATATCAAATAATATACTGCACAGAAAAGCACAGCTCTTCAACTCATATAAAACTGAAAACATAAATTAATGTTGTCTGAAATAGTAGATAGATGGGTAAATATATAGATTTGTAGTTAGATTACTTTAAATTGTAAGCACTGCTTGTTTTTTTTGTTTTTTTTTTAAAGGTAGCTTTCATTCTTTTATTTTTGTGCCAATTACATGAAACTGGGTAGTAATTAAAAAGTAAATCTGCTTACCAAGCATTCACATATGCAATGTATTTCCTGTAAACAATGTTTTAATGTGCTGTTTTTTTTGCAGGCATAATCAGAACTGCCTTACCAGATATGAGCAGGGAGAACAGGGAACATTACCAAGTGGTTATTCAGGCCAAAGATATGGGAGGCCAGATGGGAGGATTATCTGGGACCACCACGGTGAACATCACACTGACTGATGTCAATGACAATCCGCCTAGATTCCCACAGAGTAAGATTCATTTAATACTTGTGCTGTGTTTAAAACCCTGTTTAAATTTGGTAATTTAACAGATACCATCTGTGATACACTTTTACAAATACAGATC